CTTTCCCTATATCCACACTGCTTGGTATTCTTCTGGGAAACTTTAGAAAACCCTGGGGCCTATCAGCTCACTGGGGAGGAGGGAAGCCCAGGGATCTCCAGGAACCTAGCTCTGCAGAGGGGAAGCTGTCTCTCTAGACATACTCATATCTTGCTGAAAACCAACATAAATGTGACCATAAGCCAGCCTGAAATATTCTTACTCCAGGTTGCAGCACATGTGAAGTCTCCATGGAGCCCCAAGTGGAGAAGCAGCAGGGAGGATGCTATGTGAAATCTGGGTTTCCCACTAAGCCACGGGGGATAGTTGTATGTGGGCAGCCACAGAGTAATAAAGCATTTATGGGAAGTGGAGAGAGGCACGACTGTGAGTGGGTAGAAACAGACTGATCAAACACTGTGGTTTGGTCTTATGCTCCTCAGTACCTTGGGATTCTAAAAAGCTTTAATCTTCCAAAAAGCACTTGTTCCACTTATTTACTGAGTACAATACCTGATCTTATATTGTTAGTTTTTTTGTTTTTAAATATCTGTTTGTTTTATTTTAACTAAAGCCTTGAGACTCTTTTGGGGCCTTTTAGGAAACTGTCCCTTGTATCTGAAATGGCCTTGACACTCCCTTATCTATCCAAAGAAAAATCTATGCATCCTTTAGGAATCACTTGGCTGTCCTTTCTTCTATTAAGGCATCTGTAGAGTAAGTAACCCCTCGTCTGTGCTTCTGATGTTAGTAGGAACCACATTTCATTGTCATTAGCTGATTTCTTTCTCACTACTCTGTGAACTTCTCAAGAGAAGAGATCATACCATCATCACCAGCTAAAAGAGGTCTTGGCATATGGCAGGCCAGTAGTTCTCAAAACATGTTCCCCAAAGTGCCTATTTCAGTATCACCTTGGGCATTAGTGTTACAATAAACAGGATCTGTGTGTGTGTGTGTGGTGATGGGCTATGTGGGACAAAGAATTCTGCCTTTTAAATGAGCTGTTAAATGTTTTTTCACAATGAAGGCTGGTAATTTTTATAGTAGGCTCTTGACAAATATTGTTGATTTATTGATATAGACAGTTGTATCTTGGAAACAAGATTTAGGTCAGTGACTCACTCTTTATGGTCAGTAGCTTTCAGAGAAGAATACACTTGCCAGATTACTTTTCTCAGGTGCACCCTAAATATAGGCTCAAGTATAGTCAATGAAAACACCAAAAATTACCACTCAACCTTCTTTAAGTATATTTCTCTACATTACTTTTATCTGCTTTCTAAAATCCATGCATTAGGGAGAACATTTCAATTCAGATATAGAAGGTTGTGTGCAGATGTGTGTAATGGTAACAGGGACAGAAATGGTAGTGGCAGTAGTGGTAGGAAGGGGGAGTGCTTGACGTAAAGAAGGGTCTTGGTTACCCACAATAGGTATGTACTGATCTGCAGAGGAGTCCATGTAAAATGTAAAGAAATTTGCTGTTCAGGGGTCCAGGGAAGTTTTGAAGAACAGATACTTCATAAATAGAGTTGTTGAGAAAGTCTTGACTATATCTGGCTGGGAGTTACAAGGTGATGATTAGCATTGCCAGGGTGCCAGTCAGTGCTGCAAGGTTTGGAAATCCATTGTGTTAGAATTAATTAAAAAGCAAGAGAAGATGGCATGATACACATCAGAGTTATACTGTCAACATCTTCTCAGAGCTATTTGCCTATCACAAACAAATTTTGATCCATTTTCCTTTATAACAATAGCCAGTGATTTCCAGCCAAACACATCTTCAAACTTTAACAAAAGCTCTAAATCGAAAGTATTGACTCATTCTATCACACACAAGATCAGTGCATACCGAATCCGAATCCAACATATAGGCCATATGTAACATGAACTAGGAGTTCTGGCATTGACATTGGGCATGTCAAGCTGACCTAATATGCAGGTACTACAGAGTAAGATGTAAAATGCTACTTTGCAATGCTCCATAAAAATGTAATTCTTTTGGGTCCAGTGATAATATCCACCTGTCTTCAGAAGGATTGATTGCAAAGTAAATAATCTAGAAATCACAATAAAGAGCTTTCTAAGGGCCTGTACTCTTTAGTTGAGTTGGAATGTAGCACTCAATCCCCATTAATTGTTAAGCAGAAAATTTGGCAGAATGGTTGAACTCCTAAGGGATTCAGAATCTAAATCTGCAAAGCCCCAAATAATGTTATCAGTGAAATTCAAGTGATCTTCTGTATGCCTAACTTTTTGCCTTAAAGACTCAATTTAATCAAATGGACATGAGAATGTTCACAAAGAATAAACACTTTTGCCCAGATAAATTAGTGTAACAAATAATCACAAATAACTAGGACTGCTTGTTGTTTAGGAAGTTTCTAGCCTCAGTTTTATGTTCTCTGTGGATGGAATCCATTTGAACAGCTCATTTTTCACTCCTCCTTTCTCTTCCAGGAAACCAAGATTTGGGCCACTGTGCATTTTATATAACATTTGGGTGTCCCAAGAGGGTGTTATTTGAATATATTAGCTTATAGCATATACTGTAGTCACCCCTATGTGATGGAGATTTTCCCAGTAAGTATTTCCAATTCAGAGAAGGTCTTTTTTTGCTGTGTTCCTGGCCTTCTAGACTGTCTTTGAGCAGGCCCACTGTACCCTCTGTATGGTTTTAATTATTCCATGGGAAGATTCCAGGGAAAATGCAAAGGGTATTCCTGACCCCTCCAGATGTGTCAGAAGTCCAGGGACTGACTTCCAGAATCATTCTACCTGCAAGTATTTCTCAGCAAAGAGTAGCCCCAGCACCAGAAACTCCTTTATGTCTCTAGCCTGGTCCAAAGCAGTTTTAGCCCCATGTTCTGTCATTTTGTCTCTGTCACTGTCCTTACCTAGATTCAGGAGATGTTGCTACGGTTCCAACATTCAGGTTTGTACAAAGTACGAATAGACAAACTCAGTTAGCAAAGAGGCATCTTTAATAGTAGGGAGCAACTGATCCTTCAGCAGGACCCATTTTGCCAGAATTGGAAACCCTTTACTTTGGCATTCTTTTGGATGACTAGTCTGTCTTTACCTACAGAACAGTGTAAGTACCAAGGGATTTAGGGGGTGAGTTTGAGCAGGAAAACACAATTGTAATCAAACTTTCATTAAGGAAAGTAAAATGAAATATTGAGGCTGAGAGGCAACAGAGAAATGAAGGGAAAACTCCTAAATTTAATCAATAACTTGAATCTCCAGCCTCCTTTCTACTTGAACATTTCTCATATATTGATTCAAAATGAGTGTCCCATGCTATTTCTCTTTTGCTTAACCCAGAACTTCAAATGCTAATAGAGGTAGACTAGTTCGAAAGACCAAAAGTGAGTGGAAAAGTCCTAGAAAATTTAGAGTTGGCTGTGTCTTCTTTTTATTGAAGATCCTGACAGTTTTTTTTCTTTCTAACACACTTGACTTTACAAATTTGAAAAGTTTTTTTCTAATACTAAAGACCTAGCAGAGGTGACATATTATAAATGTAACCTTCCTCTCTACTCCCATTAACCTAAAGTGTGTAAAGCATATCCTTTTAAACATTGTGAGGGCAGCTGATTGAAAAAATACATACTTGTGTGTCTGTATATATATATATATATATATGGTAACTATTTAGAAGACATTATAAACGAACTATGTTCCCCAAGTAGAACATATAAGGAGAAGGAATCTGTAGTGACAGGCAGGAAAGAAAGAAAATCAGAGACCCATTCCCATTTTTTTTAACCTTCAACTGGTCTGTGTGTAAATAAAAAGGGAAAGTTTACTGCTGATTATTATGCACTTTGTTCAGACCCTAAAAGCATCATGGGGAAAATCACAATTTTGTCACATTGAGAGAGAGAAACAGTTGTCAGAGTTTGACATATGTTCCAATAGAAGAAACATCCAGTTGCCAACTGTATATGGGTTCATTTTGGATTCCTGGAACTGATAGTACATCAGCATGTCTTATGAAACTTGTGCTTGGCATGTTACTACAGCTGTATATCATCAGAGAGAAAAAAATAATTGGTTTTCCTTGGAGTATCTCTAAGTTGATGTCATATTCAATAACCCTGTAGTTGAAAAATCTATATGTGATGGATGAAATTTGGACTATCGTTTGAATTTAATTCCTCCTGTGCCAGCTTCTACAGGCCCTGGTGTACCCATCATTTTGAGGTGAGTGTATGCAGTATATAGAAAATGCAGCTGGGTGCTACTGCCAGATAACGAACTGCAGAACAATTATTCATCTCACATGCACAACAGCCTCATCCTTCACTCTGAACCATGCCATGGAGGAGCCAGTCTAAGCTTGGACCTCTCCCTCCTCTCAACTAGGGTTCGTGCCAAGGCCCAGCTCCAGTCAGTGCTGTGCATAATGACGTGAGGATGGTGGCTTCTCCTTCTCTGGATTTGAGGACTTTGGAGACAGCCTTAAATATACAGTTTTCTGAAGTGGGATCACAGGCCTGTTAGCAGCACATCCTCATCAAACTCTTCCTTGTGACCATAGTACTACTTCTGGATCTGATTATGAGGACCTGAAAAGTCAACCTAGATATATTCCAGACAAAGAAAAGTAAGCCTACATATATTTTGAGGGGCAAATGAATGTTTTTTAGGCTGTGGTTTTTCTTGAGGCTGTAGATCTGGCTTGGTTTAGAACTTTTGGACTGGACCCAACCTGGTCTCCAGGTGGGTGGAAGCAATGTGTTCAAATTCTGAGATACACATTTGTAACATGTGAGATGCAAATTAATCTGTCTTCTTGGATTCAGTTTTATGTCAGATAACCAACTAATACACATGGTTACAGAAGAGCGAAATCTGTATATCCCTAATTTGAAGCGTATGTAATAGAATCTTGACAAAACTAATCTCATCTTTGACTAGAAGGCAAAGCTGTTCGTATTGTTAAGTTCGAAGTGAATTACTTAAATATTAAGTGAAGTAGCTCAGAACTAAGGAGAACAGAATTTCCTTACCGATTAGTAGAGCTTCTTTCTCTGATTTTAAACCTTGGCTTCTTTTCTCAATATTGTTCTCTCGGTCTTGGTTGACCAGTGCAACTGTCAACACATTGATTTCCTATAAAGTTAAAAAAACAAAAACCACAGGTGTTTATGTAGATTCTGTTCATTTCAATAAGAGCTACCAAGTCTTTTAAATTCTACAAAAGAGGTCATCATTGCCATTTATAACTCAAGATAAACTTTTATAAGTAATTGACCTATGTGCACAACCATACAAGATTCATTCTAAAGTTCAGGTTCCTAGCTGTATCTACAAAACTAGCAAATTTGGCACAAATCATTTTAGGTTTCATCCATGTTCTGATTAAACTGCTAGCAAAAGTCATATTTGACTGTAGCTACTTTAACATGTTTTTATTTCAAATATGAAAAATTTCCCCCAAAGCATAAACAGACTGACTTACAATACTATGCTAATAATTTGAGTGAGTGTGTGGGGAAATAGCATCTGTTGGAAAGGTAAGAAAGAATTGTTGTTGGGAGTGTTTATACCTTATACACAACTGTAAAAGGTTAGATAAAGCAAAGGTTAGGAAATTCTTTTCTTTGGAAACTAAAAATGGAGAATTGTAAACCAATAACACATGAAACACTGAGGCTGGATTATTTTTAGAACTTTCTGTGGTCTTTTAACTTAAAAACAAAAAGACTTAATTCATATTCTCCCAGTCTTGATATTAGAACTCAAAATACAGATAACTTAATAGAAAATAAAATGTAATAGTCAGAGACCCACATATTGGGGACAGTAGAATCATCTGAGTCTTGTTGGAGGGAAATTTCTTACTGGAAGATAGGTCTCAAAAGACTAGTACAGTAAGCAAAGAGTTAAGGTTACTGTTTCCATTAGACAGTGAGGAATCTTCCAGAGGATAGAGTATAGGGAGGGACAAAGGAAAACTTAGAAGGTCTGGGCAAATGGTTCTGCAGGTGATACCAGGACGGGAACTGGTTATAGGATAGATATTTAGCTAGTTAATGCCAGTTAATAAAGATGGCCAGATAAAAGACCATAGGAAATTTTTGGCAGCATGTTGAGCATATAAAAGCACAAACCCCATCTGAAGGCACTCATAGAAAAATAAAAAACTCAATGCATGTCAGTCAAAACAGATCTATAAGCTGAATTTAACCTATGAGCTACTACTTTGTAAATCAAGCATAATTAGAAATTGCTGGGAAAGAAGGCTCTCTAGAGAAAATGCAGTTGGTAATATTCGGTGAGCATTTTGGAGGTTCCTCCTGAAGGTCAGACTTATACACCCGCTGAAGACTGAGTGATCAAAATTGAGTAAGAGTAAAGATGGGCAATGCAAAGCATGGAGGGAATCACAGTGATGTGATATATCAGAAGATAAGATCTTGGCTGACTGAGGGTGCCTGCTGAGGCCGGAGGGTGATAGCATGAGTGCCCTCAGAGGAGGCAGAAATAGTTTCAGGAATGGTCTGAGGCAAGTCTGGAGCTAGGTGGACATAAAAGGTCCTTATAAATGAAAGACGCTTCTATACTTCCAAAAAAGGGATTTTGGGAATCAGTCCTGGTAGAAACAATCCAGAACTTAAAAACAGAACAAACCCAAAGATTTATGTAGATAACTTAATACATAACTAATACATGACTTGGAACATTTCATAAAGTGGAGTTACTGGGAAGAAAGCAGGAATTCCTTCTGTCATGAAATAACATATGGATATGCTTTAAGGGCTAGAGGAGATTTAGGAGAAAGAGGATGGAAAAATATTACCTAGGATGATTGCATCATTTAAGAAAAATATAAATAATGAACCCCAGGGCTGAGTGGAAACAATATTTCCAAGAAAGGGTGATATGTTCACAGCTGGATGATAATTGGGGCCAAGTGAAATTATTGAGAAGAGTTTAGCAGGCAACAGGCTTGCATTAATTGCCAAAACTGAGTGGTGTCCTGTGGCCATGACACAGTTGAGAATCCAGCTTTAGTGAGGGAAATGGGCCACAGAGGGAGGCAGCACATTGGGAGAAACAAGAAATGACCAGGGCAGAGTAGACTGAGACCCCTCATGGGTGATGTGGGCACCTATCCCTGTGTCCAAAGCTGGGGTCATAAAGAAAGGGGAACCCTGAGCAGCCCCACCAAAGGTTACTGGGTCAGTGGCATCTGCAAGGAGCCAGCTCTGGCCTGCCAGTGCCTGTTGCTGTGATGGTATTTTAGGGTTGAGTAAATGTGGATGATAAGTCCTAGGACCACCTCTCTGTAGAAATATTTCTTGAGAGTCAATATTGTAGCATGTGTTCCACTGACTGTGAATGGTGCTCTCCTACGCGGTCATCCTCAGTTACTGTGGTGGGTGCACTGCTCCGCAAGCCTCTGATAACAGCCCAGCAGGCCGGGGCCTACAGAAAGCAGGCTTGGCAGCTGTTGCAGCTTTTGGGTATCACTGTGACTTCTGTCCGGGGTGGAGGTGGTGCTGCTTTTCTGACTCCCCCAGGAAGCAGAAAAGTTGTGCTGGTAAGTGGTACAAGAAGTAATGAACCTAATCAGGTCAGCTCCACAGAGTGCTTCACATATTATAATAAGTTGGCTCAGGTATCTGTAAAAGGGGAACTGCAATTTCCATGATAGTTGAAGGGATATCCAAGCATATTAATGAGAGATTTGGGTCTCTAGCAACACTTAGTGACGTGGACCAACTGTGACCACTCAGAAGAGCTCCTACTGACTAAGCACCTTGGAGCCCAAGCCTGCCTTGGAATAATATTAGAGCTCAGACTCTTGTCGGCAGAGTCACATAGTTAATGAGATGGGTGAATGCTTAGGTCATATATTTTGCCACAGACAAAATTTAAAGTTAATATGAATGTGTTTTAAGGGCCTGAAGACAAGACAGTGATTTTAAGTAGCCACTTGACGTGCTGTGCTTTTATCTTTTCCCACTGTAATGGAACAGGGGAAGAGTAGTGTATGACTCGTGAGTCATGGGTTTCTGAGAAAAACAGTTAATTTGACTCATCTGTATTTATAATAGAGTTGTTTGACTGAACAAGAGAGTTACAATTTTTAGTAAGCTGCAGGTCATCTACAAAGTGCAAAGTGGATCTAAGCCACAGCCATCCCCTCTTTCCCTGTTTTTAGTGTCTACAAATCTAAATGATCATCCAGGCTTTGTCAAAAGAGCTCCATCATCATGACTAGTTAAGGTGAAGGGAATATACAGAGAGAATGTGGAATTTAATAATTTCTCAAGCTAAATCCTTGTTGTATTTAGCTAAGCCTGTTTTTACTTTAAGCCACCCAATAGTCATTTGTGCTGCATACATGTATTACATGCCTACTTTATGCCAGGGAATGCAAAGTTTTTAAGGATATGGAGTCCAAAGTGGCAATAAGTGAATGCTTGACCCAGGAGCAAGAAATTCTTATAAACAGTCTGTAAGACAGACATTATTCCTTATAGGAAATGTAAGTAGATGAAGCTGGAGAAGTAGGTAGATCCTGACAAGGAGTTTGGATTTTATCTGGAAGGCTTAACTAATGAAGGGTATTCAGCAGAGAAGTTACACGAACAGTTCTGTATTTTAAGATATTGGTTTGGAGGCAAGTGAAAGTGGTGGCAGGAATGCCAGGTTGGAGCCTACTGCGATAGTCTACTTATTTTTTACATTTTCACGATGAGGGTCAAAACCAAGTCAATGGTGTGCAGAGTGCAAAACGTAACAGATATTTAAGAGGTAGAATTTAAAGAAATCTGGCGACCTGATGGATGAGGAAAACGCTGAGGATAAGTGCCTTGGCAAGCAGGGAAATAGAGAAAGAAGCCGGATAGAAGAAGATGATGCATTCAGTTCTGGAAATGCTGAACTTAAGATTTCTTGGACATCTTGTCAAGATATTTTGGAGAAAGCAGGATGTACAGATTTTTGAACTCAGAACCAAGACTTTGACAGCTCTGTTTACGGGGTATTTCTCAGGTTTGTACTTGCCGCAAGCAACCCTGATGTCTCCTTAGGGGACAAAGAAAAGGCTTGCTTACTGTTTTATATAGAAGAGGTCATTCCCCAAGCCGAGTGTTCCTCTCCTGTCACATAACTGACCGCATGTACAGGCTTCCATCTGGCCCCTCTCTGCTGGGGAGGATCAGGGTGTAAGATCCATGAGGCTATGTCTGGTGACGCCAGGCTGGCGTCTGGCAGCACACAAGAAAACCTCAAATGGGGGACTTGCCAAAAATCTTCTCTGAGAACAACTCATCACAGGAGGGACAAATTGCCCATAATATTAAGCACTAAGGGAGCACATTTTCAAGGATATCAGAGGACATAACCAGTTTATGCTTTATCTCTAATTCTGGAAAAAACATACTTCAAATCTAAGTCCTATCTTAAGAGCTTCACATTCTCTACTTAGGATGTTCCAACTTCCTTATTTAGTAATTGGGGACACATTTCATTGAGACATTTGACTATACGTTAGAAAGGCTTTGCCCCTTTTAAATGTCACCGTCCTTATTACTACTTCTCACTCCAAATCTCCAGAAAATGCAAGGGACCTTATCAGAATGGGAGTTTTATCATTAGAAGCATAAAATCATGAAGACTATCTTTTATCACATTGAAACCCTTTACCCTCTAAGTGTCACATGCCCTGAAGAATTATGTGTCTATTGGGTGTTGTGGGAAAGGTGCTTGAGACTGCAAATTGGATGTGGATAAGAATGGATGGGGTTGGGAGGTGAAGGAGGTTGCCAAGGATGAATTGCTAATGGTGTACGAAGTATTCAATGGGAAGGAAACATTAGGATGAGGATCAAGGGTTTCCTCACAGTGAGATCAACAGGATTATGCAATAGTATTCCAAGGGAAGTGGCAGGAACACCATTCACCTGACACGGCAGAAAGCACTACAGACTAGAAAATGCACAGTAAGTAACACTTCTGCAATTGGCAGGAGAATGAACACGATTATTAAATACATTTTTTCTCAGTCCATCTTTTAACTCTCATTTCTGTGACAGAATCATTAAAAGGCTGGGAGAAGAGGTTTTCAGGAACTGGAAACTAGATATCATGGACTTTTT